TTATCAGCATTTCTGCCCACGTAATTTCATCGTGCACGCATTCCTCTGGTCTCAAATTAACTCGATTCGGCAATGTCACACATTTACAGTATTTACAACTATATCCTATTTGCCGATTGGTAAGAAAAACATTATGAATGCTATATACAGGTCAGACGAACGGTATTGCCTCTCGCGAATATTCCAACGCGTTTATTGGAGAAAAATGGTGAACGAATTACCGTTCCGCTGCTCGCAACGGTATCAACGGATTAATTTCTTTATCGGTCCAACTGTAGGCAATAAAACGATATTACAAAGTACCGCTTCCCGTGTATTCAAAATCAATCCGATTTGCAGATTAATAACAATTAGCTTGATGTTATAGCGCAGTAATTGCACTTATTACAACTACACGCGGTGATCTGTGTACATACCGTAAATGACATGCAGCACAACATTTAGTATAAGATGTATGTAAAATCCTTCGAAGCAAACTTCTGAGAATTTCTCTTCAACTGTACGCGTGCAGTTGGCATGGAATGCGCCCGGCAATTCCGGTCGCCGACATTCTTGGAAGATAGAAAGATCCATAAACTCGAAAAAATTTGCACGAGCGTTCGTGCGAAGGCTTGAATAAACGTCCATGAGGAACGTAAAATGTTTCTTACGGAGATAAACATTTATTGCCGCGTAAATATATAAAAAAAAAGTAATAAGAGCCAAGAAATCTCATTTGTACTTCTCTTTTATTTCTCATTGTTCGACATGCATATAAAATTTCTTTTCTTTGTACCGCAAAGGGATAGCGAATGATTGAAAATCTTCAAGTTAAGATACTCGTATCATATAGTGCCGCCGGCATGAAAAGTTGTGAGCTAGACGACGTAGATGATGCGGCCTCCTTGTCTTGGAAGTACCGTTGGGAGAAGCGACGGTGATGCTGAATACTCACGTACCACTTCGTTCGAACGCACAAGCATAAATCTGGCATCGATATTGAATGTCATACGTACGGTGTGGCTAAAGAAAAGTACCTACATTTCGCATTTTTTTATAATAATAATTATTACATAAAAAATAATGTAATAATCTTTGCAAGAATTGCAAAGAGTTTTATTCAATACAAACAAATGCAATATATATTAATAAAATAAAACCTAATTTGCAATGTAATATTCTTCTTTCCTGTAAAATTATTTCAAACAAAGGTATGAAATATACATCATGCTTTATTTCTCTTTTGTGATTGTTTAATATCTGCCGTTAAATTAATTGTATATAATGTATTTATTTTTAAATTGTATTATGTTCAAGCTATCCTAAATTTTTTTCGACAGATTCAAGTTGAAGTATGTTTTTTTTTAAGAAAACTTTGAAAGAGAGATTATTTTCCACAAATTTTCTACTTCTAACATTATATATTAAAATTATGTTTGTGATTAAATCTTAGATTAAGATTTTATTAGAGTTTGCGTGAAATTAACGGAGGAATATGCTCTCGCTATCTGTTAAATTTATCAGCATTTCTATCATATGTACATCAATAAAATCATCACGATGCGATTTTCTCTATCTCGTTACTAAATCGTATCAGAAACAAGTGCAACATAACGAAGTGAAAAGAGATAGCCTGGATTTACAATGATTGTCGCCATCGACATCCACAGTGAAGTCCGTTCACTTCTCAAGATTTACCGTTTCACTTTTACGCAGTTAATCTTCAAAGCGCTTTTACATCTCACATTTAAAATCTTGATAAATAGGAACGCTTTCTGATTGCTGGAATGTTAGAATGATAAATCTACGGAATATTCCATTCACGATTTTAATTTTAATAACACATTCCCTGACGAATTCTCGCCAGAGGATTCTTTTATTCCTAAAATTGAAGTTGTAGAAGCATCGTTTTTTTGCTTGGCGAACATCAAAAGAATTACTTGCTTATATACTGTTGAAATATTCATCGGAATGCTTTCACGTACGAAAAAAATCACGCTCTGACTACTTTCCAATTTGTTACAGACATGCGTTGGTTTCGCGGCCACGCCGAGGCACCGAGACTCCTGCGCCTAAGTCCTCTTCGAGCCGACGAAGACGTCAACGAAACGTCCTACCATTTCCACGCGAGGTCTCGATGCAGAGGTAAGAGTCGCCTGAAATGGCGGTGCGATCGTCCGATCATTATGGAAAGGAGTAAAGTATACACGTCGCCGCGCGAGAGAGTCGGTCCAATTTTTGCAAAAATGTCGTATGTCGTATCGTCTTGCGTGCCGCGAGTATACACGCGTCTTTGCGTGCCGTCCGGCCGTGTGCGTGGCGTTGGACTTGAATCGGGATTCCATCCTGAATGCAGGGATTACGACTCAACGTTCCGTCAGGCTGAGTTCCCGAGTGACTGGCTGGAAAGCGAGAATAGAAGCAAATTGACACTACGCCGGCCTACGCGAATGCACGTTAATATAAAGGATCATTGTCGAGGACGCGCAATCCGTATAGGCTCATATATGCGTGACCGTGTATACGCCGCGCGTCCTGTGGGACCGTGCGGTGAAATTGACGGTAACGGCAACAGAGACGGCAATGACAATCCGCAATGAATCGTCCGGCTAATTATAGTTAACCGCTAATTGAAACGGTAGCCGGAAAACGAGATTGTGGGCCCTTAATTAAAAAATTTCATCCACCTTCTGTACGATACTCATCATGCGCCAATTTGCTGTGACGTACAATTGTAAAGGAATCGACTTGTTCTGCCCCCACTTCTTTACTTTTGGAAAAATTGAACATGTTAGTTTTGTATTTAATTGGGACGCAAGAATGAATTTGACAATCAATTTTTTTCTATTGTAGTACGCGAAATGTTAAAAATCTAGAAACTATTTCTCTTTCTCACGTTCATAAAGTACGGGCTACGGGCAGTTAACAACGCGGATAGCGATATATTTGTTTAACCACATAATTATGAAACATTTTACACCAGGAAACACAATCCGCTTCTAAGAACCTACACGTGAGCTTAGCGTAGTTGCGGTTTCAACGTCAGACATGACATAAAGAACGATAAAATGTTACTCGAATGTCCGATCTATTTTTACAGTATCCGGTTTACACATTCCGTACGATAACGTACACACAAAATTACTCACTTCACCAGCTGTTTTCAGCCTTGCTCGACGGAAGGGAAATCTTATCCTTATTTGTTGAGAACCTTTTTGCTTCTTACTTGTTAAGGATAGTCGAGCGAATGATTTGACTGTTTTCCGTGCACGATGACGAACTAATTTAAAATGAGCAAATCCCGCGTGCTCACCTTGGAGACCGAGGAGTCTAGTCGCGATAGCGACTGTCGTTACTGGCTGCATTATCTCGATTGCTGTCAGGGCCTCGTTTCGTAAAGCTACAACTTGTAATACTAAGGAATAAATTAGTATCAGTGTAGTCAACACATATTTTACAATGACACGCAAATCCGTGTTCTTACTTTCGCATCGGTTAATATTGCAAGACTCGCGTTTTTTATCGAGCGGAGTCGTGTTCGAACGAGGGAAAAAAACATGACTAATGATTTTATACATTCTACTGATTATTATTGATTATTATTAATTGCAAGAAGTCGTTGTTTTATTTTAAATATTATTTTAAATTAACTTATAGGACTTTGAATTTCTTTAAAAAGTATTGTAAAACTTTTACTTTTCTCTCTCTCTTTCTCTCTTTAGACGAAAAAAATATATTGATGTCTAAGATATAATTACTTTAATTAATAAATAGTTAGTAATTACAAATATTGTGTAATTTGATTTTCAGTTTTATTTAATGAATGCGATAAATCGCTGGCTGTATGTAAAAAAATATATTGTCATTTTCTTAATTAGAGGCTACCGCTACATGGCGTCCTTAATTGAACAATATATTAGTATTATTAGTAGTACAAACAAATTGCTCATAGGCGCATCCTGTTTTACGCATATCCTGCACAAGACGAGTCATGCTTCACGGAACCCACAGATTTGTCAGCTCTGTCAGTATCACCGCGGCTGGCACCAAAAATGGTCACTTTCGATCTAGAAGTCGTAGAGTTCGGGTCTCATTGTGTTCTTATTCGTAAACAGACCGGCAAATATCAGGATGCGCAATCTACTGTATTTTATTACCCATCTGAAATTTTGTACGGTGCTCCATTTATAGAATATACTATATCTTTTCAAAATATAAAGATATATTTAAAAAAGTTCATGTAGAGCCACAAAAGTTATAAGTCTATTTTAAACAGAGTGATCAATTATTCCGCTATACAAAAACTGTATATCTTTTAGCTTTATATTTATTCTACCGCCTGCTGTGCGCATTTATTAATATCATCATCCTTATCTCTCAGACATATCGCCAGTGCGATGGGCCCGGAGAAAATCATCGAGTTCCGAATCCGAGAGAAACTGCTACAACGTGCAGACCTCCCAAGTGACGACCGAGCGAGCCGCCAACAAGAAGGATAAGAAGAGGATCCAGGAAGAACGGCGGCGAGTGTGCGAGAAGCGGAATCCTCTGCTGGACCGTGTGAAGAGCACCAGACTGAGCTTCTTCAAGGATCGCGATTCCGACGAGGACGAGAACGAGAACGATGGCGACGACGAGGAAGCGAGACGGGTCCAGTTCCGTTCGATGTGCGAGCTGAGGCATCGCGGTCTGACCAGGAACGAGTTCCGGCGCTCGGTCTGCGAGTCTGACCTGAAGGACATCACGGAGGAGGGGAACGGCCACACGAAGAGGAAGAGACGCGCCAAGTCGCAGAGCAGGTTGTCGTACAAAAAGCAGCAGGAAGAGCGGTTCTCCTTCTTGGGCTTTCGCACCTCGACGCCACGGAAACAGCCCGAGTGGCGACCGAAAGAGGGGGATTCGGTCCGGGAGGACGCGATGCCCCACGACTATCGATGGGAGAGGACCGATCGGAGCTTCCTCGAGGCGAGCCGCGGCGCCGATCGACCCGGCGTCGATCAGGTGACGATGGTCGACACGGGGGTACCTGGACACGCCGGCGAGACGATTTTCAAGAAGGACGCGACGGCGTTCGACAGCATCACGCCGTCCAGCTGCCTGGCGGCGAAATTCCGCGCGATGCAGGACAGGTACCTGAAGAGCTCGACAAACAGGTTGATCGCGAAGATCTACAGGAAGGACTGCAAAGATCGGGAGAGACGGAGGCTGCGCAGCTTTTCTTACGGTACGCTGCCGGGTCTCGAAGAACTACGAACGAATCCGCTGTACGAGGATCAGGATCAGGACGACAATGACTCCGGAATCTTGGACAACGATTCCGCGACCAGTTCCCTCCTGGACGACAGGTGTAGCAGCGGCGCTTCCGGACCGCTGAACAACGGTAGCCACAACGACTCCTGTTTGGGATCACCTCCTCAGCTTCCGCCCAGAAGACCCTTCTCGTCTGCCACGGATGTCGACGGAACCGCGCGACTCTTCGCGAGTTTGGACGTGTATTACGACAAGACTAAGGACAAGGATTCCGGGATGAGTCTTCTTACCGAGGAGTATTCGAGCGTCTGTCAAGCCGCGAACGGAACGTTGATAGATCGTCAAACGGCTCGAGTCTCCGCGGAGAACAATACGGATCGGGAGAGAGAGGGAAAAACCGTGGAAGAGGACTCTAAACGGAAGCAACGTGGTGCCGGTTTACAGGCAGTGAGGAGTAGAGCCTACACCACGGAGACGATGGTCGTGAAACTTCTCAAAGAGACGTCCGATCAGTGTCTTGGTATTTTTATCGCGAAAACCGCGGAGTCCAGTCCGGGGTACTTGGTGGCTCACGTGGTGCCAAACGGACTAGCCGATAAGGAGGGCACTCTGAGAATTGGCGACGAGATCCTGATCGTCAACGGGAAGAGACTGCGCGGTCTGAGTATGACGGAAGCTAAGAAGATCCTGGGTAGCGGTAGCGGGCCCGGTGACATCGACATCGTCATCTCGCGGTTCTCGGACGTCGAACAGCAAGCGAAGAAGCTGAAGGAGAGCAGCGTGGATTATGAGAACGTCAGCATGGAAGACGGCCACGGGGTAATCGTCGAAAGTTCACCCGGATCGCATCACTTCAGAAAGCATCAGACCAGGTCTCACCGGGACAAAAAGGACGAGTCGAACAGGTCGATCTCGTCCGAGAAATTTACGACAAACATGGATAGCGGATTAACGCAGAGTGTCTCGAAGTTCTGTACTCTTCCCAGAAGACCGAGGAGTACGGTGTCTACGTTCCTTACGGTGCTTTTCGAAAAAGGCGCCGGAAAGAAGTCCTTAGGATTCACCATAGTTGGCGGAAGAGACAGCCCGAAAGGAAGCATCGGTAAGTACGAGCGTATTTTTGCTGTATACTTTTTTCAATTAGCTAAACGATTATGTAATAAATTAGAATATTTCAGCTTCGTTGTTTCCTATAAAGAACATTTATAAGTTCTAATTCTTTCCTAAACAGTTTTGATTTATAATAAAAAAATTCTATATTCGTTCTCTATACTTATTTCTATATTCTATATTCTTTAATTTGTCGCAGGTATCTTCATAAAGTCGGTACTACCCAGCGGACAGGCCGCCGAAGATGGCCGTTTGCGCGCAGGAGACGAGATTTTAGCTGTGAATGGCCAAGTCTGTCACGATTTGACGCATCGCGAAGCCGTACAACTTTTTCGCAATATTAAAAGTGGGCCGGTTGCTTTGCACCTATGTAGACGCGTGAAAAATCGTGAATCACAGTAAGTAATTCTCAAATATTTAACATTTTATCGAATACATAAACCAACGTCATTGCATTTTTAAACGCATTAATTTGAATAAAATATTAATTTAATTAACATACATGATGTATTTAAGTATTTGAGATAATATTTGTAATCAATATTTGATTTAAACTAAAATAGCTATTAGAGATTTTTACAAAAAAAAGTAAATATTTATATTTATATGTTTGAATTGATTACGCATTCCTTTTATTTCATTTTTTGCCTTTCTGTTTCAGAATATTAAAAGCCAAGTCGTGCGCAGATCTTTTGCTGATAAACACGTGAGAGCGATGTTGAAAGAGAGGCAGGGGACATGGCAAATTATGTAAAATACGAATCGTGTATATACTGTACATTTTCAGAATTCGCTAGAAATAAAACAGTTATTTAATAACAATTATTTAATTAATAATAATCTGGATACGGTACCCCATTCGGTACCTATAAAGAACATTATATATCTTTATTGTCCTCTATGATTAAAAAATGCATATATTGGACGTTCTACATTGTCGTAACGTTATTCGACGTATAAAATCTTATTGTTAAAAAGACGTGGTACTTAATAACAATTATAATACCACAATACGCGCGCGCGCACGAGAGAGTATAGTCTATAATAATAAAACCTATTAATCTACCAGACGATTGCGAGATATGCCGCATGAAATAAATTACGTGAGAGAAGAACGTTAGAGAGAAGTCATAGATTTCTTTTGATAGACTAGAATTCTAAAACGCCGTTTTCTCCATGCGAATGATAGTAGATTAGGCCTAAATCTAAAGAGCACTTCCGGTGGGCAGTTTCTTCTTCGTCCATACTGTTTAGTACGGCGCACTTTTTACAGTACTTTTGGGATATCTGCAACAATTATTAATAATTAATAATTAATTACGTCACGTCTCCAATATTTCATTAATACAATGCTCGCGTCTCCTTACAAATAAATGTTAATTTAAAATTTTACCTGTGTCTTCTCGTAATCTCTAATTCGACCGTACCCTCTCTCACCGTCTTAAACAACTCGATGACTTCTTGGTGCGTGCGGCCCTTCAAAATTTGCCCGTTTAGGCTCAAGATCTCGTCGCCTAAAAAATCGAGAAAATATACTTCTTCGGATATGTTCAATTTCTCCGAAAATCCTTGGCTAATTTGATAATAATTAATGGAGGAATGGGAAAAATACTCTCACACAGTCTCGCCGTTTGAAGTTATCGCGGGATCGCCCTCATTCAAAAAGCATCCTGATAATATCAATAAAGTTTAACGACCAAAAAGTAACCCTCGAGGCTGCCAATGACCCCGTGACGAAGACGTTCTTGCGGGATGCTATCTCCTGCGCTTATGCAAGCCGATCAGCTACCAGCCCGTTACTCAAGTATGCGGTAAGGAACGGCGGGCAACGAGGAAACCGCGATGCAGGCGTAAAAAGCGGTGGGCTCGGTTGAAATTCGAGACATGAGAACGCGAAACGCGTCTAACGACCTTCCTGGTTATCGGCACGTCAACTTCTCGCGAATACCTGGCCGTCAGTGTCGAACAACTTCTCTGCCCTTAATATCTATCAGGACGATCCTTCGCGACTAATACGACTCACGATAGATGTGAAAAAGTACCAAATGTAAAGGAAAAAAATTGGAAAACGATATATATAAGCATCTCGTACGTAAAACGTATATAGACTGTAATAGTATGATAAAGATATCAGGAAATGGTGTATTAATACTGGCGCTGTCAATGACACGAGGTATTTCACCGTCTTCCGATGAAAGGAAGCGAGGACGGAAAGGGGAAAAGAAAAGAAAAGAAAAAAAAGCAGAAGAAAAACGGTGGAACATGCCGCGACTGTTTAGATATGCACGCGGCGTTAGCTGTCGGATTAAAGATTCGACAGCTGTCTGGCGGGATCCTCGCATCGTCGTGAATACACGAGGCCGTCCGTCGAACCTGCGTTCGACGCGTCGTCATGCGCGTTCCCTTATCCCCGCGATTGATAGCTCTCGAGCGAAAAGTATTTGAGGCACGTCGACGTGTGAAACGAAGCGCGCGATATTACGCCGCATCGAGGCGCAGCAAAGTGACAGGCTTGACGTCCCTAATTACAACGTCGCTAATTGCAAAGTAGATAGGCCATGTAACAAATATCGTACGACGGTTTAATTGCCATTAATCTGATTTTTTTCGCATCCAGATTATAACGACGAACGATAAATGCATACGGCATGTTAATTGAAAGCTACTCGATCTCGCGTACGGTTATTACGCGTGGAAAATGTTTTTTTTTTTTTTTTTTTTTTTACGGGGTCTAGAGTCTACCTTGAAACAGCGATCTGGAAATGTCGGCCTGCCCGCCGGGGAAGACCCTCCTCACGAAGATCCCCATGTCACCCCGGGGACTATCTCTGCCACCTACAACGCTGAACCCCAAACTGGGCTTGCCGTAGCCCTTCTCGAACCTGGCCACGTGTCTCGACAGATAGTGTTGCGATTCCGCAGCGGGCTCCACGCTGCTGCGGGTGTCCTTTTGATTTTCAGACAAGCACGAAAGCGGCAGACAGTCCGGCCTCTTTCTCGGTTGAAGTAGCTCCGCGTCGCCGTCGATTGCCTTCTTCTTCTTCTCGGCCGAGGAAGAAACGTGATTCGTTTCGGCGTCGATCAACGACATGCTGGACAGATTCTTCGCGTTTTCCAGGTACTCGTACTCGCCGGGCACAGCTGGCGGTGGATCCTCGTATACTTGCGGCACCGTCTCCTCGTACGCCGTCGTCAGTCGTACTGTGTTGCAAGTAAAAGACCTCAGAAACTCCTGAACTTCCTCGAGGGTTTCCAGCGTTTTTAGCTCCTTGCCTTCGACTTCGACGATCTCATCACCTAGTCTCAATCTACCGTCCCTACGATTGAAGAATAATTTATTGTCAGACAAAACTTAAAAATAAAATCTACTAGAAAATAAACAAAAATCAGATAGAATAATTAAATGCTACATTTTCATTACAACACGCATTCTTAATAAGTTGAAAATATCTATGATAAACTTCTCTCACCTATGGGCGATGCCGTCGCTTTCGAGTTGCACGACGATGTACCGCAGATCTCCCAGTCTCTGCTGCGCCAGTCGAATCCCCAGACTTTCCTTGGGGTCTCTTTTGTGCAATTCTATCAGGCAACATCGCCGTACCCTGGTTAACGGCTGAATGATATCGCTCAGGAACCTCGTTTTATCTTGCTGCAACCTCATGCGGTGGGGCAAGACGTCCAGCGTCTTTGCCGTATCTGACAGGAGGTTCAATCTATCCTCGCAACTTGGAAGCGGAGTGTCCTCCAGCCGTGACACGGCTTCCTCTTCGAAGGACGTTCCGTGAATACTGGGCAACATCCGTCCGGATCCGCTCCGGTGCCACCTGAGACCATCTAGACCCTCGAGATTCATCCGAGAAATCGCGTCCGGCCTGTTCTCGTCCGCGTTGGAATTCTGCCTGATCCTGCCGGCGTTCTGGGCGTTCTCCTGATCCTGGCACTCGCTCGGGGTCGAGCTTCTTATGGGTTTGTCCGCCTCCGAGTCCACGACGCTGCTGGTGTCCGAGCTGCACTTCAGCCCCTCGTTCTCCAAGGCCGCCACGGATTCGCCTCGCGGCCCGTCGCTGTCGTAGCCGGACTCGTTCGAGCTCACGTAGTGAGACGACAGTCTTTGCTCGCAGCTCGATATCGAATTCCGTCGGTTGCTTCTGATGGCGGTCATCATGTCGAGATCGACGTTGCAATTCTCCGTTATCCCGGTCTCGATTCTGCCAGCACCTAAGTCCGCCTTGTCGCGCGTGGTATCCTCGTTATGTTGAAACTCGTTGTGCTCCCGAAGGGACAGCAGACTTCCGTCGAACAGGCTGTAGCAACCGGCGATTCCGTCCCGCTGAAGTCCGGCTTCGATTCGCTCGAGGCGACTGGCATTCAGGCTGTATCTGTCCGCTTCGTATCTACTGGAATTTCTCTGGAATTCCGCGTAGGAAGTCCGACCCGGTCGCGGGACATTTTCCTGATTCCTCGCGACGTCGAGACCGCAGCCGGTGTTCCCGATCCTCGATCTCTTCCGTCCGAGGGTTGTGGTGCTGATGTAAGAGTCCTCGATCTGCAGGGTCGGGAAGTGCTCCTCCGACACGGTCTTGAAGAGCCTCTCGTCCTTGGAGACCAACGATCCGTGACGTTCTTCCGGCAAGACGGACAATTTCGATCGCAGGAAGGCGTACGGGAAGTTGGATTTCTTCGCCTCTTTCAGGTCGCAGCTGCTGCTCTTTCTCATAAACGACTCGTTTTTCGTTTTCTCGAGGTCGCAGGTACTGAAGCTCACCGAAGGACTACCTAACGAATACGTGGAGGCGCAAGGATCGCCACGCGCGCGCGCTTCGAAGATCCCTTGATCGTTACCTCGGTGTCCCGCCAGATCGTCGCAGGACACCGTCTTGTCCTTTCGCGCGGCTATCTGCAGGTCTATACCTTCCGACGGATCGTCACCCTTCACGTAAGTCGGGCTGTTGTTCAATTGACTGGTACTGCAGCTTCTGAACAGGCTCTCCTTGTCCGGCATCGTCGATCTCTCCTCGATATTTTGAGATCTTCTGTTGCTTCTAGTCGAGTTGAGCATACCGGTGGAACCCATCCGGATGAAGAATGATTTGAAGGGAGACGGGGATCGCTGACAAGCTGCCGGTAACTTCCTATTTGTTCTCTCGTCTAAGTGTATCTTACTTAATTGATGAACGTCGATATTATTATTGCTGGTACTAGTATCATTATTGTTGATATTATTATTATTATTGATGCCGTTGTGCTCGACACCGTCGGACCTTTCCGTAATGGAGCAAATAGTCTCGCGAGATCTAGTCCGCCGAAACGAATCGATCTTCTTGCCCATCCTGCGACCCCAAATTCCTAGACCCAACACTATAGAACAAAATAATATTAATACAATTATTGACAATTATTTAATTAATTATTACAATAATTATAATATTGTTTTGAAAAAAATCTGAAATTATTTATAAGTCAGCAGAGTATCTTGTAACTTAATTCTTAAGAATTTTCGTGCGCTTTCAAGATCAACAAAGATATTTCAAACCCTATAAGTAGTTCTCTGTCGTCCTGCATAATAATAACAAAGATGATAAAACGTTACCTTTTTGTTACCCTTCAATAATGTAAGACATTATTAATATGACAACGCTGGTATATAAATTATAACAAAAATAAAATTTATTTATTTAATTTATTTAACAACTATTCGATAACGAGTCGAACGGAATCGTTTTTCGCGTCCCGGTCCTCAATGGGAATGGGCGGAAGGTAGAAGGGAGTAAGACATTGAAATGGCAGCGTGCCGTCTCTCGCAGAACGTACAACGAAAAACCGCCCGGTGCCCACACCCGCGTGCGACATATGGTGGTTCTCGAGAGAGCCGTCGCCATACACGAGGAACTCGACGGCAGCGGTTCCGCGTAGTTTGGGACTACTTTTTCGAGGTGTCACCCCCGGCTAACGGGCCCGCAACACGGACACGTCGCTTCTACATAACGAGAAACGATTAAAAGGCTGCTCGAGTATCGGGCACACGTGTTTTGTGATCGCGCGTATACGGCGTGATGCGCGTGCAAAAGGCGGGTTTATATCCCGTCGCGTTGTAACAGCCTTATTTGTCGCCGATCACTATAATCCGTGTCCCCGTAATCAAAAATATCACGCATTTAGAATATCTCAGCATCTGGCATGTTTTACTCGCTATCGCTATTGCAGGTGCGTCGTTGCGTCTGTGGGAAAAGAAATGACAGGTAAAGGAAGACAGGTATCATTAAATAAACGTCTTGAATTTTTTAATAATTTTTTCTGCTATCAACTGTAAAAATAGCGTTGTATGTTTTATTTTGTACAATAGCGTATTTTTAGAATATTTTATATAATTTACACGATAAATATAAAAAATAATATTCTTAGGTAGAGATTACAAGATTCAGTAATTATAAATTATATTAAAAAATATATTATATAAGTCGGAAAATAGAAAATGATATGCTGTTAATATAAATGTGAAGAGTTAAAGTTACATTGTCTATTGCTGATTGACCTCGTATTCTATAGGAAAGGAAAATGTATCTTCGATGTTTCCCTTTCCTAAATATTGTGTAATAGAAAATAAATCTATTTACGTACGTTCTCTAGCAAATGTTTAAAACATTGAAATTTAATTTTTCAAAAAGTGATAGTAAGACAACCGTAGCTAATAATTTCCACGAGCGAACTTTCTACTAAAATACAAACAGGAAGGAGCAAAATTACTTCGCTGTGATATTATCATAGCGAGTAGCGAACGCAAGTTGGCGTTGGCAAGTATGTCGGACGACGGGGGCTCTAACGAGGCAAGTGCGCCAAGCGAGTGATTAGTGAAAGGATGCGATGTTTTCCTGGATTAGCGGTAATTCGCGGCCGTTCGGAATAGGAGCAAGATCAGTGACGCCGACAGCCAAGTGGCGGTACTTTTTTGCGCATTTCGTTGACTGACCGGCGGGAGGACATGAAAGTCACCGGAGCATGGAGTCCAGCTTGAAAGTATTGTATTTAGACCCGCTACAGGATGATGTCCGCGTGTGCTGTATTGTTCGACGCAGCAGTTTATACAAGCTTTTTACGGTTGCGTACTCTCTCGCTCGCAATACGCACAGCTGTTCGACGAAATTAAGACTCCGATGTTCTCTCAAAATCTTTTTGCTACCCAATACGTAAAAATTCGCTATATATTGTAAGGAATGAAAATAAGTATTAATGATCACGTATATTTTCGGAAAAAAACCTATTAAAATTTATTAAGTGTATAACGTCATAAATTAAACATCTTCGTGGATTTGATTAATATAAGAAAAATAATAAAAATGTAGAAAGAATGAAGAAATCATTGTTGAAGCGCGATGAGAATCGTCGAATTGATTAACGCACCTCATTGCCGAGACACGATGGAGATTATCGATATAACTTACCTCGTTGCTTACTCGGATCATGCTCGACGATGAAGGCCGGCACGGCCGTGACCGTTTGATAGTCAGCCTCGATGACATCCTGCTCGTTGTCCTGCTTCGTCTCGAGCAGCGTCTGCATCGCGGCCGCGTCGCCGCAGCTCCTCCGGGTGTACTTGGCCCGGGAGATCTTCAGCAGGGTGGCGGTTTCCAAATCCCGGCTGTTTGTCCGCGGCATTGAAGTCGCCGATAGCTCGTCCAGCGGGGCCGCCGAGCTCGACAAAGAAAGGGCAACATCGTCGGCGCTGTGGCGCCTCGACTTTGACAAGCGTTTAAACATCGTCTAGCTGTGAAAATACAAAAAAGATGTGACGATAAAATTTGTCCGGCCACCGATGGCATGCCTATATCGGCTGAAATTGATGCTAAATAACATTTACTTGAAGCAATACTTTTTATAGTCTTTTTTGCTATCTCTTACTACTTTCTAGATTATTTTATACTATTTTTGTACATCATGATTAGCCTAAGTAGATCACGGATCTCATAAAATTTCTAGAGAACGGATGAGATACATGCTTTAAAACATCCTCGTAACGAGGACGAGATGCGATAAAAATGTTACGATCCTCCGCGGTGGAGCATGATTGGATGTAAGAGAGGAATTACTTACATCATCCTTTATCCGCGCGTCGAAAAGAAATGTGAAGGATTCGTTATAAAGTGTACAGCCGATGCGATGCGACGTACCGCGCTCGGCAAGTTTCCAAGTACGATTTACCGTTCAATCTCTGGCGATCGGCGTACTCGGCGAACGTTTTTGCAGCCGCGAAAAGATACCGGTGGATGTATCACGATCTTTCATTTATCACACGAATAATGATATCGCGATTCTCTCGGGAGAGAAACCGACGTCCCGCCAATCAAAAGTAATCGCGATATCGAAGAAATGTACTGACACTGTAATATTATGCACTGATGTAATTGATACAACCGTCGTTTTCTGACTTCATAATATCTATTAAATAAGCAGTTATCGCTGTTAACGATCTAAAAAGGTATTGGATTCATCATAGAAGATGCGCTCGAGAGAGAAGAGACGAAGTGAAAGAAAGAAAGAGAGAGAAAGAGTAGAATTAACTTCTCTTACGCGGATCGGCCCCAACGAAGGCCGCTTGTTATTATTTATTTTTTTCCTCGTCAAGGTTCCCGGATTTCAGTCCCATACTCTCGCGGTGACGTGTACGTGAATGATTTACACACACGGGTAGCAAGAAGTAGGCAGGCGAAAACAACTTTCTTGGAATGGACGTTGTTGCATTTCAACGCCTTCTATCCTCTATCCTTATCTCTATCTTTCCTGCTTCAAACTTTTTGCAAGCTTGCTTTTTTTCCTCGTTCGGGTTATTCGTTGTAGTATTTTAGACAATCACTCTTACTGTCGGAACTCAACGTAGAATTAAATTTGCCGTTTCCATCCCACAATGACGCTGCGATATTGAATATTTTAAATATATTAAATTCGATATTCAATAATTTATTCCGCGCGCGTTTAATTTCGCGTTTTGCGTCCCGCGCGGACGCGGCCGTTCCGTTATTCTCCACCGCGCCAAACGCTCGTGAGGTGTAGGCTCGACGGAAAAACGCGGATTACGTCGTATATAACGCTAAAGATCCCCGACGCGAGGTATATTAAGCTATCTAAGCCAAATTATCAGAACACAAAAAATTTTATATGAAATTAATTTGCTATTTTTTGCTTTTAAAAGTAATTTTTTTGCTCCAACTATTAAAAATTTACAAAGAGCTGGATAGCTTAAGATTAAGCTGCCACGCCATTGTAAAAAACAGCATATACATAAGTCAAAGCAATAAATTAATAATACCAAAATTATTTGATATTTTTTTGCTATTTTTTGCTTGCAAAAATAATTTTTTTGCTCCAGCTTTTAAGAAGACAATCAATATAAAAAAATAGCAAATAATTAGCAAATTAATTCCATATAAAATTTTTTGTGTTCTGATAATTTGGCTTAGATAGCTTAATATACCTTCCAACGCGATAAGAAGAAAAATGCTCGCCCCACGCGGGCGAATAAGCAAAACTTACGATAGACACGTGTGCACGATGCATATGCTAAGAGTACGCGATATACCCGAGGCATAGAGAAAGTCTCGTGGCGCGTGCAGGAACTGCACGCTCGCGTATGCATTTTTGCAATCGTCGAATATCGCACGATTTCACGTAATGCATATGCCACAGCCGCGATGTGCTCGCGCCATGTTCGGCGCTGCATCAGCATCACCGGAGAGGTGTTCGGCGAGGATTATCGCCGCCGGAAGAGGAAAGATCGACCGACATTCCTGATTTCACCGCCGCTGACAGCTGAGTGCTTTCTAGGACGTACTTACTTGCGATATGTGTAACAGATTTAGCTGAATAACTTTTGCTAGTCCAAACGACGAGATTCTTATCAAAACTCGAATTTTTTTACTCGACCCCGAATTAGCGCTTTTTAATTACGCTCTGTGCGACGTACGATACAATATCTATTTCTTAATTATAGAATGTAATCGAATATGAGTCCTCTCTTGTTTCCCTTTCATCGACGTCGCGACATTTGGGAGATACCCGGTCGGGACGGATTTGCATTTCATGAGCTGCACTTCCGCAACGAGCCTCGTGTCATGTAGATACATTAGAGGAATCCAGGGGTATTTCCGGCGTACGCACGCGCGATTAAGTTCTCAATGAGGTTCACATAGTGAAGCGGAAAGAGACGTACATATGTGGCGAACGACATCGCAGAATAGGATAGGTGAAACGTATATGTCGTCTAACTCTATACATATCATCCATTCTATTCTCATCTGTCTGGAATGCAAAACATAGAATTCAGATGCGGGACGCTTTCTGAACTATTCTCATATAGCTAAAACATTTAAAGTAAAATATAAATGTATGACGTATATACCATGCTATATAATAATGTAATAATAATAATTGCAAAAAGTACAATTTAATGACTAGATATTAAGGTTTATTATCGCGGATATCTGCTACGTTAAACGTTAAACGTGCAACTAATTGGTAGTAGAACGCTATTAACTTTAACCCTTATTTCCTCCATCCGGCGTAATAATCCTTCCGTTTCTAATAAACAGCTATTCGCAACCGTGAAAAGGTGTTATCGACAGTACATTATTCATACTCCTCTCTCACTCTTTCTCTCTGTGTTTCTAGAGTTATATTTTTGTAACTATATGTACGGAGTTTACGTCCTATTGCCGACTTATGCACGCCCGTTATGTACAACTACGCGTCTGTGTTTCATGCTCCGTTATGACTTCTGCTTCCGTGACTTTTTATTCGAGTCAGCGTCAAGTCGGAAGCTATAATCGGCAGAACGTCGGGCGTCCAAATGACGATGCATTCTCTTACGCCTTAAGAGAACATTCTTCTGGTTTCTATTTTCAGCGAAGATCGGCTCTCTCAAGTTTTTTTACATTCAACATTTTTAGGGATTGTCCGTGAACTGCATATGTGCGCGCACGACGCACCCCTGCTGATCGCCAACGCGGATCGCTTCATTTAAGCATCCTTACTATATCGTGGGTGTTGCATTACATTGTCCACGTACAAGCGAGTAGCCGACGGAAGGGTATATGTTGCGCGGCATAAGGGCGATGCTACGACGACTTATATTCGTTTTTCGAAGAGGCTCGCCCTTTGACAAGTATCGGCTATCTTGGCTCGAGCACTTCGCTGCTCCTCTCTATCGGCGTGATAAAAAAATTTCGGTAAGAGAGTTTTGATAAATATATACGCGCCGAGCAGATTACCGTTTCTCTTTGACATCAATCTCTTTACACGAAGATCTCGTGTTCTCGGCGTAAAGTAAGTCTTGAGAGTGAAAAAAATAACAGAAAAACACAATCTTATTATAATTAGTTCTAACAGAATAACTGAAACAATCTTACTTTTTAATGTAATTTTACGCTTGATCTGTTAGTGGGATATGAAAAAATTCAATGAGTAATAAGAGATGTTGACGCCACACACACACATTTGTCATAGCGTTTGTCGGAGAAACACGCGTGTTTCGCCGCTTTGAATCACCTGGCGCATGTTTGTGCGAACGCAAAAGTGTCTGTAATATTACTTAATACAATTTACATTCCCGCAGCCAAAGATACTATACTTGTGCGAAGGAGATCAAAATGCTAATAACATGCCCGCGTTACGCTTTCCACGTTTATATCCCTTTTTATACTACCATAAAATGCCGGAGGTAAGCATTTTAAGGATTTCGCGTAATAGTACGGCTCGTGTCGTAATACCGCACACGTTTCACGCGCGACGTAATTTTCAGAACGATTAAAGCCTTGTTATTTTACTCGTTCGCGCCCCTTAAGAGTGCACACACATACACTCCGGCCGCGCTGCGGTTCTAAAAAAGGTGCGGGAAAAGTATCGACGTAAGATAGTATCTTGCTCCACGCGATAAACTTTATGCCATAGTGCTTGCAATTCCGCCGAGGGATTTTCGCCGGAAAAGCGAACGGTGATCTCGCGAGAGAGGGAGAGAAACGCGGCGAGAATCACGAGAAACGGGAGGCTTACTGAAGCTGGAACGCCGTGTTTCGTTAAGATGCTGATAATTGAGTTTACTGCCGTGTTTTATATCTCTAGTACAGAATGCCCGACGCGTACTTCCTGTCCGGAAGGTTCCCCATCCGCTATCGCGTCTTCTGACTCACGTGTAGAGAGCAGATACGTGCTTTCGTAACACTAATCCAGCAATGAACAAAGTCCACTTTTATTTCCCAAAAGTTTTCTTATACGAATATGCAACGGCTTTGGAAAAAAAAAAATAAACGGACGGAGAAAGGAACGCCCAGTAAATCGCGTGGTATATCGACGGGAAAATGATTCCTCGTAAAAGAGCTTCGAGTCAACGATTCAAATTCTAAGCGCTTCTGACGTATGTAAATACATAAAATTGCACAAACCTATCGTGAAAGTATGACAGTTGTCTTAACTGGCAGTTTCTTCTTCTCTTAACGCTACTACCAAGTAGTTGCGGTTAGATGACCCCGCTTTCAAAGAGAAAAGCCCATCAAAGATTTACAATAGAAAATGATGGCGTATTCCACGTCATTACTATGTCCAACGTCCGTGTTCAAAGGTCTTCCTGCTTCCTTTCCTTATAATACATTTGAATAGCGTCGTAGTATAAAATATCTATCGTTTATTTATCAAATTCACGGTGGCGTCTTTTCATGAAATACTATTTTAAATAAAGCTAAAAATTTTGACAGATTTAAGAACTTTTTTCTTAAATAA